CTGGGGAGACAACACTGGGATTGACAACAGTGGAATTTTCTGAGGAAGAGGTGGTTTTATCAGAGTTCAGGGCGAGCTTGTGGGAGCAATGTCATGTTGGGAGGATGGTGGGATTTGGAATTATGGAAGAAAGGGCTGTCTTGAGGGACCTGAGTTTTAGAAGAGATATTGCCCCACTCAAAAAGGAAACAGCAGAGCTTGGTGTCTACCTGCTCCACTGTTAGTCTCTGAACAGGGTCTCAGTTTTAGGTAATAGGCAAAGGAACATAGGGAATGGATATGAGGGCAGGTGAGCAAGTAAGTGGCAGAAACAATCAAAAGGCTAAGTCAGATAATGTTTAAATTGTTTCTTTACATATGTTACAGAGTTCATGAATTCCCTGAGAGATTCCTGACGTCTACAGGGAAGACATTATACTAGCATCTTAACAGCTCTTCCTAGGAGTTGAAATAAGCTTCTGTCATTCTAATATCTTAGACTAACACCTGTTCACATCTCTACCTCCTTCTACCCCAAAGCCTGGAGTAGTTACATTTCAACATACATGTGCTGTGCCAATATTTCGCGGAAGTCCTATTTCTGGTAGACTTTTGGCCTTTTGCAGACATGGACACTATTTTACTCATCTCAGTCTCAGTCTGTATTGCCAAGTGGCCTCTGGTAATGGACAGCCAGAATAACATGGAACCAGCAAGGTAAGCCAGTTGATCAGTATTCTTGTTCAGAGGAGTTTTGGTGTTTTATAGTAACCTGTGATCTTGGGCAAGTGACTTAGTCTGAGTTTTCTCATTTGATAGATGGGTTTATTAGTCAGGATAGGCTAAGTTGTATAACAGTAACAAATACCCTCCAGAATTCCAGCAGCTAAAAATCCACAAAGGTTTACTTTTACTACCCATTTATTGTAAGTCATTTGGGTTATGTCTATCCTTATTCTGGTCCCTGACTGATAGGTCAGCTGCCATCTTGAATGTTTTCATCCCCTATATCAGGAGAAAGAACTTGGGTGGGAACGGAGGGATGACAATTCAGTGTTGGCCTGAATGTGTCACATGCCATATGTACCCAAGACTTACTGGCCAGAACTAGTTACATGGTATGATGCTGTGATAGAATAAGAAATAAATATATTTGGTCTCTGCTCCAGGTTCTTGGCACATAGTTCTTAAGACCTTTGGCATCTCTGGTGTAATGAGACTGTCTTTTGTATGCTAATGAGAAGACTAGAGGTTAGGGTCCTCTACGTAGCTTCATGATGGGCAGCTGGTCACCAGAAAGGCCAAGGCTCATGATTCAAGGTTTGGGACATTCAGCCCCACCTTCTCAATCTTTGAGGAGAAGAAGGGGGCTGAAGTTTGAGCTGATTATCAGTGGCTCCTATGGTAATCAGTTACGCCTACGTAAAGAGTAAAGAAGTCTCCCTGAGGTCGAGACAAGAGGATCACTTGAAACCACAAGTTTGAATTTGTTGTGAGCTAGCTAGACTGACACCAAGGCACTCTAGCCTGAGCAGCAGAGTGAGACTGTGTCTCAAAACAAAAGCCTCCATGAAACCCTGAAAGTACAGTGTTTGGAGAGCTTCAGGTTGCTATGCAGATGGGGAGGTATCTGTAGGGTGATAGACCAGAGAGGATATGGAAGCAAGCTCCATGCCCTTCCCATATACCTTACTATATACATCTTTCTACCTGGGTATTCATCTATGTCTTTTGTGATATCCTTTGTAAAGAACTGGTAAATGTGGCTAAGCATAGTGGCTCATACTTGTAATCCTAGCACTCTAGGAGGCTGAGGCAGCAGGATTGCTTGAGCTCAGGAGTTTTGAGACCTGCCTGAGTAAGAGCAAGACTCCATCTCTACTAAAAATAGAAAATTTAGCTGGGGGTTGTAGTAGGCGCCTCTGGTCTCAGCTACTCAGGAGGCTGGGGCAGAAGGATTGCTTGAACCGAGTAGTTTGAGGGTTTTCCTGAGCTGCTTAGCCATCCTATAAAATTAATCAAGCCTGAGGCGGGGGATCTTAAGAACCAGGTGGCTCGTCATAGCACAGATAAAATAACTGGCATCTGAGGTGGGTATAGTCACGTGGGACTGAGCCTGTAATCTGTGAGATCTAATACTAACTCCAGGTAGTAGATGGCCTCAGAATTAAAGTGAATGATAAGACACCCAATTGGTGTCTGCTGGAGAATTGCTTGGTTGGAACGTGGGGACGAACCCTCACACACATTTTGGTACCCAAAAGTGAAGGGTTCAGTGTCGTCCATATAAGAGAAGAAAACATTAGTTTCTCCACATCTGCTACAGAGATGGCATCATCTAACTTTGACTAAGGTAGAGCAGTGCCTGGAAGGAGGAAGACTGGGAATATTTTTTGATTTGCACTAATGACAGCTACAGAAAGAGATAATAATACTTGACTTTTCCTGGTTGTTTGAACCATGAGATTGATAATATAAATATTTAACGTAATTTCTAGCACATGGTAAATGCTCAATTTATAGTAGTCAAACTATTATGGTTATTATTAGTCAGCAGCTTCTATCACATTTCTGGCCTACTGTATATCATTTGTTTGCCTAACAAATTTCTCCTCACCTTGTTTTTTCCTCAGAAAATGCAAAAGTAAACTTAAGTTGTTCTTCTCTAGACTTATCACAAATTCTTAATAAGTGGAGTTGTTTAGAAGTTTTAGACCTAGTCATGGACACTGTTCTTCCAAGTTTTGGATTGAGAAAAAGAGGTGATTATGAGAAAATCACTTTGTGGGGTGATAGTGTGAGTATCAGCAGTGATTTTGGTAACTATCTTGGTTTTTGATTTAAAAGCAGCAGACTTTAAGCTGGCTTTCATCTGAGTCAGTGTAGAAACAGTCAATGTATATTATATGTCTATGAAGCTGCTCTCTGGATCAATTGCAATTAGTTTGCAGCAGATTGCATTAGCATAGCTAAAATTAATACGACGAGTGTTCTGATGAAAAGGAATTGACCACAACCACACTGGCTGTTTTAAGTCTCCCTTAAATGCTCTTTTCAAACTATATTTTTTCTTCTTTGGTTAATGGCTTTAAATTGGTATGTCAACATAGACATAATCTATTGATCCTTTCCACTTGCCTTTTAAAAGTGGTCCTACATAATAGCACATAGCAAACACTTAATGTTTTCTTTCATTAAGGGGCTTTTACAAAATGCCTTAAACTTGTATTTTTCTTGGTAAGTTATGTGATACACTATTAAAACTATGAGTAGGCTCATCTACAGAATTTTGTGTTTTTAAAATTACTAATGTTTTATCAAGACTTAAAAGTTTGATTAACAAATAATATACAATAAATGATATGAGCACTGCTTGTCTGACAATGTATTTTTATCCTAGGATTATTTATTTCTAAAGAGGAAGTACCGACAGTTTCAATATTAAAAACATCATTACCAGGATTTATAAGAATGGAACAGAGCTATCTTTAGGCTTGATCATGTTGAAATTTAATTTGTTTACAAATGTGTGTAAATCATGTTTATTTTGAGTCTTCAGGACTAGCTTGTACTTGTCTATTTTTAGAGGTGGTCAGTTTCTGGGAATGAAAAATTATAAAAGGCAAGATTTATTCATTTGGCCATCTAACTGGTACTTTTTGAATATCCTTCATTTGCCAAACTGTGTCACATTCTTTGTAAAGATAGAGGAGTTTAAGACACACTCTGTGCCCTTGAGTAGATCCCAGTCTAGTTGTGAGGTTCAGAGTTTCTTTGGAATCTTCCTTGTTCAGAAAAGCTCCATGAATGCCGCGTAGCATAGAGATTCCCGAAGAAGCAACATTTAAGGACACATTACAGATCTTGAAGGCTGATGGCTCCATATGATGGAGCCGGGTGGCCCTCACTTTTATGGTCTCTGTGCCTTGGACATCCACCAAAGCCATTGATTGAAGCCGCTGGGGGTTGTCTCAGATGATATTCCACATTGCACCTGTGTGGTGACCGGTTGTGTGACTGATTTTTTGGTTTGCATGCATGATGATATTATCATCCCAGGTCTTGCAAGTAGTGGTTCCTTTCCATTGTGACTCATGGATACAAAGGAGCTTACACTAAATATATTCTTTATTTCTTAGATTTTTTTCCCTTTTAAAAGTGGATTTGGTAGAGAATGATGTTTGTATTATTGGATGAAATGTAAAGAAAGGATTTGTTTGTTCATATTATTGTGACCTTTGACTATTTCCTTTCAACACAGATGGAAGCTAACTGATATTGGAAAACCACTTCTTAAAACTTCAGCAAGATTACAAGGTTCAGCTTAGAAACTAGTTATATTTAATGGTGAATAACTTGGGTTCCTGCACTCAATCTTGGTGTATGAAAAAGATAATCTCATTAAACACATAATGACTGTACCTGGACTCTATTAAAAACTACAGTAAAGAAATGAGTTAGTCTGTGGCCCAATGACTTCAGAGAGTTAAAAAAAATGTTCCGAAAAACCTTACAATGATTAATGATGTGTATATGGTTATTAAAATAATGTTATGCTTTTTATTTATTTGAGATGGGAGTTGAGAGGCATATGCATATAAAAGCCTCCTTAACAGTTTTTAAAATCACTTTTTATTTTGAAATACTTAGACTGACAGGAAGTTGCAAAAAGAGTGTAGCATTTCCATGTATGCTCATCCAGCTTCGCCTGTGTTAACACCTCGTGTAGCTGTAGTACGATATCAAAACCAGGGAATTGACACTGGTATATTGCTTTTAACTAGACTACAGACCTTATTCAGTTTATACTGTTTTTATAAACCTGCATTTAGTTTGGGGTATGTGTAGTTAAAAATAGTTAAGTCCGAAGAATTGACATTGACCCCTTTTTCTTTGGCTTCTCTTATCTTGGTGTTGCTGGTAGCCAGTAGACAGTGCCCGTAGGACTGGCCATGTAGAGTGACTGTTATTTTTCTTGTTGTTAGTACTGTGTTCTTACCTCTTTCCCTCAATTTCTCTAGGCAGTTCAATTAACCTCCAGAAGATGGCTGAACCTGCAGGAATACCAGAGCAAGAAACTGATGTCTGACAATGGAGTGAGAGTTCAAAGATTCTTTGTTGCAGACACTGCAAATGAAGCTCTTGAGGCTGCTAAGAAACTAAGTAAGCTAATTCATAATGGGTGAAATATGCTTGCCTGTATCCATGAATTCATAGGTAGTGGTTTCCCACTAGTTAATTTTTTTAGTCATGGATTCTGTTGACAGGGATGGATGCAGGGGAGAACTCTGAATTGCAAAAAAATAGAAGTTCAAGGTCAGGTTTAATCCTAGCATTCTGAGAGGCTGAGGCAGGTGGATTGCTTAAGCTCAGGAATTTGAGACCAGCCTGAGAAAGAGTGAGATCCTGCCTCTACTAAGAGTAGAAAAATTAGCCAGGCATTGTGGTGGGCGCTTATAGTCTCAGCTATTTGGGAAGCTGATGCAGGAGGATCACTTGAGCCTAGGAGTTTGAGGTTGCTGTGAGCTATGATGCACGACACTCTAACAGAGTGTCAAGGTGAGATACTGTCTCAAAACAACAACAACAAAAGAAATTCAGAGTGCCCTCACCTTCAGATTGCCTGGTGCACACATGTGCAAGTGGTAGCAGGATCAGGTCCTATTAACCTGGGAGGAGTTGTAGAGCCACAGGACAGTCCTCAGTGTGATGGTCTGTGTAATTGGGGGAAAAAACCTCCCTTCCTTGACACACTGGAGGTGTCTACTGCCTTTCTGATCCTTCCTGGGTGGGATTGATAGGCACTCCTGTGTACTGGACTCTGTCAGGGTCACTTACTGGCGTCACTTAGAGTAAGTGCCAGAACATCAAACAGCTTCCCCTTTTTTGGCCTCTCTCAGGGCTTATCAGCAAGATTCCTCATAGGATGATCATGTAGGTGTTTTCATCCCGCTTTGTTTGAAAACAAATGTGAACCAGGGAAGTACTGGTCAATGATGTGTGATGGAAGTGGATGGAGGCCTTTAACAGTGATATTCCAGGTGCACATCAGATGATCTGAAAGGGAAATTGTGATCCATGTTAACTAATAAGGGAGATGATAACTGAAAGCAAAAGAGTCCTATTAGAAAAACTTTTATTTTTTAAAAATGAGATAGCAGCATACGGGGCATCACTCCATGGTAATGTCTCTGAGTTTTTAGTGGCCATTTTATCCAGTTCCCTCAGCTGTGGCTAGTGGCTGGGAGAAATGTGGCCTAAGCCCCTGTAGGGGAAGGGAGGCAAGGAAGTCAGCATCCTTCTTTAAGCCTCCTGGAACACAGAGAGACCTCCCTTGTGGTGTCTGGGGGGAGCAAGGGGAAGTGCATGACTTTGAAGTCACATTGACCTTGCTGCATCCTTTTGTCCTCCCACTTACTGGCTCTGCAACTTTGCAGAGGTGCCTTCTTCCTGTGCCTCAGTTTCCTTATCTAGAGACTAAAGCTAATCTTGATGCCCCAGTGCTATTGTGAGTCTTTCCCTACTTACACATCGAGAAATTAGGATCAGGTCCTGCTGTCTGCCTTTCACTGAACACTCCTTCTGGCATCACACAGACACTTTCATTATTTGTTTGCCTTGCCTTTGTCCACTAGAAATGTAATGTGTGGCGATTAAGTATTTTAAAATTTTCTAATAGTCACATTTAAGGGAAGTAGGAGGAAATGGGTGAAATTAACTTTAATAATACATTTTATTTACCCTAATGTATTCCAAAACAGCATCATTTCAACATGTAATCAGAATAAAGAAATTATCAATGGAATATTATATGGTTTTTCTAGTCCTAATCTTCACAAATCTCGTTTGTAATTATATGCCTTCCAGCTCATCTCATTTCAGACTAGTCATGTTTTAAGTGCTTATGCAGCCACATGTGCCTAGTGGCTACCATGTCAGACAGTGTAGATTTATAACATTAAAAGCATAGCATGTGCGTTTTTTGCCTACAATCTTGGAGAACAGTTATTTCTCACTGAAGGTAAAACATTGGATCATCTGCTACTCAGCCTTGTCTAGGCATCTGTAGCAGAGTTTGAGAGTGTAAGATGGAGCCAGGCTCCTTATTTCCTTATTTCAGTTTTCCAGTTGTCCATGATCTTTCAGAGTAAACACTAAAGTACTTCAGCTAGCAATTGTTCTTTTATCTTCTTCTTAAATTTCTCTCAGATGGTTATAGAGATCTTTTCTATGTTATGTGAGTTGAAATGTATATTTATTTGTTTTTGAACAAATATTTATCGAGTGTTGCCCATGTATTAGGCACTGTAGATGCAGTTGTGAAAGAGAGGGGAGTCCTTTTTCTCCATGGAATTTACATTCTAGGAAGAAATTAATTTGTAATTTCAGATGCCGTACATAGAAATTGAGAGCAATTTATATATCAAGAAATGAAAATAGGTTTCATTTTCAAAAGCTATCAAAATTGGTTATTATAGTAAGAAAAAAAACCCAATAAAATTAGACCTAAGCTTGTAAGACAGCTCCTCAATAAGCTGTGATAATAGACTTAGTAAAGGGTAGTATGTATTCCAACCTCTTCTCAAGAAAGGGTAATTTTTGTTTTATACTCTTGTGGTTTGGGGATTGGAAATGAAAGCAAAGAAATAATAAAGTTCAAGTTGGTCTTTGATCTTCATTTTCCTCATTATTTTCTTAAATGCAGAGAAGCCCTAGTATTCCACATCTAAGTTTTCTTTCTAGAGAATTCTGGAAGTCAGATGATTATTCTTCCCACCCTACATAAGCACAGCACAACTGAGAGGAATTATCTTTCAGATTTTCATAAACACATAGATTTACTGAACTAATGGGATTTTTAGTTATGGGTTTGCTTTATGAGTATTTATTTAGCCATTACTTTGTAGTTGGGGATTATCTCCCATGATTTTAAAATAGCATTTGCTTTGGAGGATTTAGCAGTTTGTTTACACACAGGTCTATGGCAAGGGAGAGAAGGAAACAGAAAATAAAGGGAGTTAAAATAAAAGTAAATAATGAAAATAAACTTTTGTAAAAACTAATTTTGGTTCTTGAGGAGTAGTTTCAAGAAATTCAACCTGGGTAAAGGGGTTGAGAATGATAAAGGGATTGAGAAGTATATAAAGGGACTGAGAAAAATCGAAGTGGATAAAGGAGTTGAGAATGACCCATCTGTGTGCTTCTCCCTGCACATACCTGTGGTGGTTCCTTTAAGTGCTGTGTCCAGCAGAGGGACTTTCTGCGATCCTGCCTATAGCTAAACGGGAATTTAGAGAATTAATCCAGCCATCTCATTTGGCAATCTTTCCCTTATTTAGCAAATAGTTTTGGTAAAAGGAGGGTATCTTCTGGTTTCTGTTGAATAGTTATGATCTGCGGGGAAACATAGATTTGGAAGAGGAGATAGTGCCGATTTTAGTTGCTCAGAAGAAAAATAAGTGGAGAGTCAGTACATGTCACTGAGGTCACCTGGAGAAAGCAAAGTGGGAAGGACTTGGCAAAACATAGTGTTTACATTCTTGTCACTACAAGATTGACAAAAAACAAGAGTACAATTGCAATTTTGCCAATAAGATTTGAGGTTAAGATTAAATCTGGATCACATATTCATCTTCCTGATTATCCTGAAAATAGGACCTCTGCCTTATACTGATACATAATGATATAAAATGGGGAAAAATTACATAGAGTGGTATATGTCTAACAAATGGTAAGTGCCATGTATGATTTCATTGTTATTATCATCATCATAATCAGTGGCATTCCAGTTGGTTCTATCCTGTCATGACTCAGAGTTACCGATCAGAGACAGACAAGGAGGAGTATCCTGTCAATTATGTGTTAGGAGAGTTCATATTTTAATTTGAAAGATTTGTAAATGATTGTGGTGTATCTGCTTACCTTTCTAGTTTATTCATATGTGTATTTGTTTTGAAATAAGATGATATTTTATAAAATATTTGAAAATCAATGTTGATAATAGTCACGGCTGTCATCACTAGGGTGATGTGGTATGGATTATATCACCAATCTCTTTTCTTGTGTCTGAACCCACATTCCTAGTTATCTGTTGGCCATCTGTTCTTGGGTATCTCCAGCACTCCTGGCCCAAATGGAATTTGTCATCTCATGGTTGCTCCAAGCCTTCCCTTTCTGTTCTTTCCACTGGTTTACACAGCTGAGACGGCTTTGCCATTTTATTAGGAAGGAAACAGGCAAGATAAGGTTAAAAATTTGCCAAGGGTATAGAACTAAGAATCAACAAAGATGGGGTTTGAACCCAGACATATTAGATTTAATCTCTTCCCCAAGCATTTTCTTATTTGATAACTTGATGATGTTCTTGGGATGTTTTTATGTGTGGGTCAGGATTTTTAAGATGAAAAATAACTATTAATAAAATCAGAAGATTGGATTACAACTAGATGTGGCAGGTTCTAAGGTGCAATTTATAGAAATTGTGTAATCTGCAGATATTTTGTTAATGATTCATTTTGTTTCATCTCTTTGAGCAATAGAACGTTTTGCTGTGTAGCTACGGAAATCTTATTAATTGGAATGTTTATTTAAAATGGGTAATACAAACATTTTTTTTCTAAAACATTGTAATAATAAGATAGTGTGAGTCTCATTTTCTTACATGGAAAATGGATTTATTTTTGATTGAAAGATTAAATTTGGTTTGGATTAAGTTTTTAATATGTGGATAATATTAATTTCTGTAGCAGTTTGTAAGAGCTACCTTTTTTAATCATGCTTTAAGTAAGGAATTGTTTCCTTAGCATTCCAGTTGTCTTAGGAGGTTTATTCAATACATAGTTTTCTCCTCTCATGGATTAAAATTAATGAACACAATCAGTAGATAATTATAGAATACCTACTGTGTGAAGGACTAATAACTTTTGTTACCTTTTTTAGTTCTCTTTAAAAATTAATGAAGGGATCTGTTTTTCATTTAATTGAGAAAATCTACCTTAAAAGAATGTTTGTATGTAAACCTGGATGAAACTTATAGGACCACTACCTTTCAGTTTTTGAAATCTCCACAACTTATTAATTATTCCATTCTTATTGACATGAGACTCTCAACATTTGATTAAGCAAGAAAATTGTATTTCAGAAACTCACAGTTTTATTTTTTG